GAGTGAATAAACACTCCACCAGCTTGGGGAAGATCTGGCTGTCTGTCCTCTTCATCTTCCGCATTTGCATCCTGGTCATAGCAGCAGAGACGGTCTGGGGAGACGAACAGTCAGACTTCACCTGCAACACACAACAGCCTGGTTGCAAAAACGTCTGCTATGACCACTTCTTTCCAGTCTCGCACATACGTTTCTGGTGTCTGCAGCTCATCTTTGTGTCCACACCGGCTTTACTGGTGGCTATGCATGTGGCATATCGCAAGCGCAACATGAAAAAGAAAAGCATTTTAGCCAAGCGTGGAGGTAATGGTAAAGGAGATGACCTGGAGAGCTTGAAGAACCGGCGTCTACCCATCACTGGGCCACTGTGGTGGACCTACACATCCAGCCTGTTCTTCAGACTTCTTTTCGAGGCCGGATTCATGTATGCTCTCTATTACGTCTATGATGGCTTTCAGATGGCACGCCTTGTGAAGTGTGAGCAATGGCCTTGTCCCAATAAAGTTGACTGTTTCATCTCAAGGCCGACAGAGAAGACGGTCTTCACCATCTTTATGGTGGGATCTTCTGCTATTTGCATTGTGCTCAATGTGGCTGAACTGGCCTATCTGATTGTCAAAGCATTGCTCAGGTGCTCAGCCAGAGCCAAAGGGAGGCGCTCATTTGTACACCAAGAGAAAATGTCCACAGAAAAGGCGCACCTACAGAATGAAAAAAACGCAAGGTTGCTGTCATCAGCTTCGGACTCATCGAGCAATAAGACTGTTTAAGATGATCTTCAACTCCGCCATCATGGGAGATGATAACAGTAGATTTAACAGTATGTGCTTTGTAGCTCTTTTTGACAAGTAGCCCTGAGAACACATCAAAAGACACACACTTGAAAGCAGGTTTCAGCGTGGCTCTTTCCGAAGCTGAAATTCTTTCCCCTAGCCGAAAGATGATTCAGAGTTATAACACTGCATGGTCAATGAAGAAGATCTGAGGGTTGTTGAGATATATTTGTAATTTTTTTACTTGCTAACTGATTACAGTACTTAGGAGTGTCCAACTTTGGTCCTGGAGGGCCGGTGTCCTGGAGAGTTTAGCTCCAACCCTAATCAAACACACCTGAACCAGCTAATTAAGCTCTTACTAGATATACTAGAAAATCTCTGGCAGGTGTGTTGAAGCAAGTTGGAGCTAAACTATGCAGGACACCGGCCGTCCAGAACCGAGTTTGCACACCCCTGGGCATTAGAAAAGCGAAAGAGTGACTCCTAGTGGTCAAACAACACACACGTTCAAAGGCCGCCTTTGCACAGAATTTGTGTCCTGTTTTTGAAGGATCGTTTTTATGTTGTACAGAAATGCATCTCTATATTTGGACACTTTGCTATGTTTACTTAATTTTTAAATGCATTTTAGTCTTTCAGTTTCCTACCAACAATTTTAGCCTGGAAATGTTTTTTGTTTGTGTTATTTGCTTTTGGGTTTTTAATATTCTTTTGGTAAACGATTCAAATGTTTCACAACTCACAAGGTCAATCTTACATTCAACCCTACCTGGGATTTCATAGCAGCTTAAAGCAATGTGCCTTGTTACATGAATCTGCAGTATTTAATGAGCAATAATAGATATTTCAAACAAAGTTTTAGCCTTAAAGTCAATCATTAAAGCAAGCCATTAAGTATTTCTATTTGGACTACTTGGATGATGCTTGCTGAAGAGTAAGCACTACATGACATATCCCAAAAGAGTAGTGGCTCTGGAGTATGTTATTGTAATACAGTCTTATTTATTAGCCGTTAGAGTTGCAAACAGTCTGCAATCGCGTGAGAATGTTTACTTTTTTACTAGTCGCGCTTCTCTTTGACATCTAGTCAGGATACCTGTTGACAGATGAGAGCGCATTCAGTGACAGAAGTTGGGAATGATGCGTACCTAAATGTCCACATGGTATTGGTTGAATCTTGTTTCCCAAAGCAAGCTGTGATCTTTTTTTATTGTCAACTGATTGCCAGCGTAATACATGTTCTTTGCGATTTTGGCTAACAACTAATATTTTATATGAAGGTCTTAATAAAAAATCTCTAAAAACTTGCTGTTTGTCAGTATTATGATTGCCACTGGTGGATTCTCTTAGGAAAACCAAAGGAGGGCGGTGTATTTCCATACTATTTTAGGCAAGGCCTGCTGCATGACTAAAGTTTTCCACGCAACACTTATAATATATATATATATATTTTAAAATCATTTTCTTTTTGCCAATTTACCACCAAAACGAGTTTATATTAATTTACTTACCCTTCTGTAACAGTTATAAATACTGTGAAGACAGCTATATTTAAGATGTTAAAATTAAGTAACTAATTTTTGGACACAAAATGGTTCATGTTTAGATTTTATTTTAAGTTCGAAAGCAAACAACAATGGTGAGTTGCTTAATTAAAATGATGAATTAATTGCTTCCAAATAATAATACATTAAAATAATTTTAGTAAATGTTTTTGTTATTATTATGATAATATTCTGTGTTAAAAATGTTAATTTAAAAGTAAATCAGTCAAATTGTGTGCTGGAGTATAGTTATGGTGTTGGGGCGATGAGTTTACCCCGGTTGACAGGGGCGTGGCGTGCGCGCTGACTGGCCGATGACTTTCTGAAAGCAGCACTCTTGCATGACCACTCAAAGTGACAGTAGCGATGGCTGGGAACGGGAGACAGCTGCGCTTGGTGAGACCCCGTCTCCACACTCGAATTGCCATGAAAAACTAGGTGTTCTACGAGAGTTTGGCCTCGGGTCTCTGTGTGAAGAACTTTTTTGAATGAATAAGTTGGCCGGCCACTTTCAAAAGAGTTTGGTAAGCTGGCAGTGCTGCCAGGATTTGGGAACGGGGGGAGCGGGGAGGGCTCCTGCTACCTTTGGGAGGTCTGTATGCTTTCATCGCACTCAAACTGTGGCACCAGTGGCCGCTGGATATTGCTTTCGTTAGATAAGTTTACTTCAGTCAAGGTATGCCTCAAGTTAGGAGTAATTAAACTTTAATTTACATCCCATAGTAATTAATGTGAATTTTCGCTAGCTGGTAGGCCATCAGCTTTCACTCCAGTGTGGATGGTTTCTGCCTACTAACAGCTAACATCATATAGACACATTTCAGAAAATCATCTGTTGTTTGATATGACAGGTATGAGTGAATAGAGTGCAAAGCCTAGAAAATCTACCAGACTGTTTGACCTGAATGTGGACAGTAGACAGTTAGTATCATCACTTTATTATATACACAGCAGCAGTTTTGTAATTAAATGCTTAACTGATAGAGCAACGAGGACGATTATTGGTGATAATTATAACCTAGCAAGTCCAATAACTGTAATTAAAATAATAGTTTGGAAACAACGATTTTTATAGATAATAACTTAGAAATAAGCCATATTTTATCATGAATTACTGGACTTGATTATCTGTGGAACAAATGTAAATATATAAAAAGCTGCCTACGTAATTGTATTTTTTAAACAAAAGTCACATAACATACAAGTAAAATCTACTATATAAGGTTATGTAAAAGGATATATAAATGTGAAACAATCAAATTAAAGCTGTTAAATATAAAAAAATTAAGCTGTTTGTAAAACTTGTTCAATGATTTAGAAAGACGCTTTTAATAATTAAAAAGATTTAACACAAAATATTAACTGCTATAGTTATATATATATATATATATATATATATATATATATATATATAAATATATATATATATATATATAGATAGATAGATAGATAGATAGATAGATAGATAGATAGATAGATAGATAGATAGATAGATAGATAGATAGATAGTTAATATACTATATATAATAACTGTTTTACTATAATTTTTATTATCATGTAATTAAGGACTTTTTTCTTTCAGGGTCATAGACTTGATTTAGAACCTTAGTCGATGGATTTGCCGCCCTCAAAACAACTTCATTTTAGTAAGTAAAATGATTGTTTTTCTGCCTGTTAAATGTGTTTTTTGGTACATTGCTTGTCTTTGTTTACTAGTGTTAATGCTATCCCAGTCTTTGTTTGTTTAGTTGTACTGCTAATTTGTGCTTAGGATGATAAAGATGAATCTGTGTTGATCAAATCGTGACTCTGATTTCTGGATTCATCAATTATTTATTTACAAGCCATGACATCACCTAAAAGGCAAATTAATCAAATGTACTGGCAATTAATTGTACACATGCAGATATAATATGAGGGTAGATTCACAGCTATAAATTGTCCTGGCCTTGGCAGTGCTATGTCTCCATATTTCCCTGCATTTTCCCCTTGAATTCCTGTAATTGGCTCTATTAGGGCCCTCAACACATCAATGTCCAGTCAACGCTTTCAACTGTTTTTGAACATTATAATGTTGATCTCAGCACATGCCTGCTGGGCAGTGAAGCGAACAGGTGAGAGAGAAAGAGACCGTGTGTATGAATGTGGTGAAAAAGTGTGTACGAGTGTATGTGTGTGTGTGTCAGTGGCTGGAGAGAAAGCGAGCCAGAAAGAGTTTGCTTACACTGTGCATGCCAGGCTCATAGCAGCCAGTTACAGAGTTAAATAGAGAGAGATCACAAAATCCATAAGTTTATGTCAACGTTTGTTTTGTTTTTTAAGGTGATATTTACTGCAAGCAATCGCAAGGCTGATTTGCTTGATTTTTCTACCAAAGATTGATTAAGTTGTCAAGTGCTTCATCAGGGCTGACCATCGGATCTTATGCAGAATTGTGAAATGCTGTGTGAGTTCACGAGGGCCGAACATGGGTTTTATATGTTCATTTGCTTTAGCTGTGCCAGTTTGAACATACCTTCAGAGCAGAGGCCTAGACAGACTTGATAAAAACAATTTCATGTACAGTGCTTTTTGTTAACAGCTGAACTAGTTCTCAATGAATCCTCTCTGTTCCCCTTTCTCTCTCTCTCTCTCACGGCCTCCAGACTGTACTTTCTCTCTAGGCTAGAAATCGTGAAGCATGGGTGACTGGAGCTTTCTTGGGCGGCTCTTGGAAAATGCGCAGGAACACTCGACAGTGATCGGCAAAGTCTGGCTGACGGTACTCTTCATTTTTAGGATTCTGGTGTTGGGAGCGGCAGCTGAGGAGGTCTGGGGCGATGAACAGTCGGACTTCACCTGCAACACTCAGCAGCCTGGCTGTGAGAACGTCTGCTACGATGAGGCCTTCCCCATCTCCCACATCCGCTTCTGGGTGCTCCAGATCATCTTCGTGTCCACGCCGACGCTCATCTACCTGGGCCACGTCCTGCACATCGTTCGTATGGAGGAGAAGCGGAAAGAGCGTGAGGAGGAGTTGCGAAAGGCCAGCCGGCTCCAGGAGGAGAAAGAACTCCTGTATAGAAATGGAGGGGGAGGGGAGCCTGGTGGACGGGGTGGGGGCGGCAAAAAGGAAAAGCCGCCAATCAGAGACGAGCATGGCAAAATCCGCATTAGAGGTGCCTTGTTGCGCACCTACGTGTTCAACATCATTTTCAAGACCCTGTTTGAAGTGGGGTTCATTTTAGGTCAGTATTTCCTCTATGGTTTCCAGTTGCGGCCCCTGTATAAGTGTGCGCGGTGGCCTTGCCCCAACACGGTGGACTGCTTCATTTCCCGGCCTACAGAAAAGACCATCTTCATCATATTTATGCTTGTGGTGGCTTGCGTGTCCCTTTTGCTGAATTTGTTAGAAATCTATCACCTCGGATGGAAGAAGGTCAAACAGGGCATGACCAATGAGTTTGCCCCGGACCGTGAATCGCTGCCTGAGGCGGACGAAGCTGAGCCCGAGTCCCCCAGAACTGCGCCTCCAACCCTCAGCTACCCGCCAGACTACACGGAAGTGGCGGTGGCGGGTGGCGCGTTCCTCCAGCCTGTGTCAGCGCCCTCCACCGCAGAGTTTAAGATGGACCCTTTGCGCGAGGAGCTTGAGGAGTCCTCACCTTTCTACATCAGCAACAACAACAACCACAGGCTAGCTGCTGAGCAGAACTGGGCCAACCTGGCCACCGAGCAGCAGACTCGGGAGATGAACGCCACCTCCCCCTGCTCTTCCTCCTCATCTTGCTCCTCTGATAACGTACGGCAATCCAAAGATGCCGCTCAGCTTGCCAGCACCCCCTCCTCTGCTGGTGGTGGTTTAAGCACTGGGCCGGAGGAGGGGCACGTCACCACCACGGTGGAGATGCACGAGCCGCCCGTCATTTTCACTGACGCTCGACGACTGAGCAGGGCTAGTAAAGCCAGCAGTGTGAGAGCGAGGCCCAATGATCTGGCGGTGTAGTGGCTCTGCACCTCAAAGCACAGGTTTTTGTGGACAAAAATACAGAGATGCACCAAAAAACAAGAGGAAGTGAGAGGCAGATTGCTGGAATGGGAAAGAGTTCAGCCATCCCTTAAAAGATGGCTGCTGAATACTGGTTAGCGCAGCAGTTGAATGGAGCAACTTATAAACCAAAATCTAGAGTGGTTCACCCAGAAAAATGTCCCTTTAATAAGTCCAATAATTCAGTTAGTAGACACATCTCATGGTATAACAAGCATTTGTTTGCAATGCAATAATGCAAGATCCAAACAAGTAAAACAAATTCAATATTACATGGTTGTTAATATTATTATTGGAATCCTGGAATAGCAATTGATGACAGTACTTCCCATTTGACATTTTCTTTTAAAGGTTTGCCTTGTTGTTCCAGCATCTGTCTCTCGATTTTCTCATTCCAAAAAGAAATCAAAGTGTTGGGGAAGGGAAAAAGGTAAAAAGCACATTGCCTGATGTAGGTGGCCAACGTTAATGCATCACAGAGAAAAGGTCATCCATACATTAACTGAGGCAAGTGAAGTATTTAGTTAGATAACTGTTGTACTACTGAATGGTGCAGAGTTTTAATTCATATAGCTTGTGTATTCTCTGGACCATATTTTTTTCAATCCCATAATCTGAATTTCACACGCTGTTCCTCTGTTGGATTTGAGAGTTTTGATATATGACCAATTTGATATGACACCAGGAAAACATGATCCTTTTGGAAGTAGTTAATCTGATAAGAGGAGTACTAACTCTTATTGCATTTGAAATCCTCATTGTTTTTAATTCGAAAAGCTTGGACATTTTCTAAAAATGTTAGCAATTGGTTGAGAATGAGTAAAAATTAAAAAAGCATTGCTTTTCCGTAGTCACTGAACTTAGTCTGAACTTTAACTCTGAAAACTGGACTGACACTTTCAATTTGCTAGAACTTCTATGTCAGCTGCTTTGACACAATCCACATTGTAAAAGCGCTATAGGAATACATATGAATTGAATTGAATCGTCAGTTCGTGGTTGCCAAAAAGAGTTACTTCAAAATGAACATAAAAAGATGCTGTAAGTGTCTTATTCTAGTATGGAGTTTATCCTTTTCTTTTCTTTTGGTCCAGTTTCAGGTTACTGTGAGGCCCTCATTTTCACTGCTGTTGTGTAGGACATGCCTTCTGTACACATAAACATTTACACCCATATGACAGCACAATATTATTTATTTTCCTTCAGAAAACTATTCTCGAAACCCATCAATGTACAATGCTCCTATTATCAGGTATAAACTTCAGCAATCTATTTAAGGAGAGAGACAGCCCTGAAATCTAAACGGTACATTACTTCATCATGCAGAGACTGTGCAGGTTTGTGCCTAGGACAGTATTAGTTTTGCTTTACCGGATCACAGTATTTACAGATGTATGTTATTTATTTTCTGCTGTTTTAATGTATCCAAAAATGAAAGTGTGTTATTTTGTCTTTTTTTGGTTCTTAAAGTTTACATTTTAGTATATAGTTGAAGATTTGCACATTTAGGCAAAAGACACTGTTCATTAATTCTTACATTGATAGAAAGGAGGAAATATTTTTGATCCTTAAAGGAAAATGTCTTAATGGTGAAAGTCGTTGTGTTGATGGCAGTATTCTTCCACTTAAATAACATCAAATGTAATTTATAAAGCAGCACTTGTAGAGTATAAGAAATATACACGTTTCCCATGTTTTATTTTAGGACTGTTGTAGTGGCCTGAAAGGACCGCAGGAAATTTGAACATTTTAGATTATAGCATTTCATCGATTCTGAATTGGAATTGGCCAGCCAGCCAGCTCTTTCCTATCTCGATCCGTTTGTAGTGTACTTAGTTGCAGCCCATTTTTCTCAGATAACACTCATTTCTTGAACTGATTTTCTCAAGCAGAGCTGATTATTCTGACCAATCAGGGAAAATGAACCACCTACATATGCTCAGAACAGCAGCCTGTTTCAATGCTGTCTTAAGAGAAGTGCCTTGTGTATTCAATTTTATAAGAACAAGTTGATGTAAATGTTCATTTACCTCAAATGTTTACAAAGCTGTTACTAAATAAACTTTTTGTACCATACATGTAGGCTACTCTGACCTTTTCTTTTGCAAATGGCAGGCAGCAATTGATTTATGTTTGGGTGCTCTCAACTGCTGTCCTGTATACTACATAGTCGTCATCACTTGCTTAAACAATAACAAGGCAGTCTGGATTTACAGAGAAACTTTTACAGATATTTCTAATGGTTAGAATGTAATAAATTGACTGTCATTTTTAACTAACCACAACACGGTTTTTCCATGCTCAAACTGAGGTGGAAATTAAGTTTTGCTATTTGAAACAAACACATTTTGCAATATTTTTGTAATCTTATCAAGTAAAACATTATCTTATTTAAAAAGGCTAAAATTGATGTAATGAAATACATGACCAGTGCTTGTGGTATGCTGGTAGCCATGAGTGCCGGCCTGATTTTTATCAAAGGTGGAAGTGGTACAAAATTCAATGAATTCCCTATGCAAGATAAACCTAATGACTCCTAAGATTTTAAAAGTATGCCATTAGTAAATCCAGGCCAAAATCACAATCAATGCAAACAAATCTGCAGGAAGCTTGAGCGCATCTGAACTGAAAACTTGCACTCATTGACCTCTGACCTTTACGCTTATCAGTCCTCCACTCCAGATTCCTAGAGGGGAAGTGAGAATGAGACTAAATAATGAGGGACACTAAAATGATACACACAGTCCTCCATCTTTGAAGGAACTGCAACACAACGCAAGCCTGACGATAATGTATGCACATTGGATGTAAGTTACAGACATCAGTGTAAATTTGTACTTCGCTTTGATCTCAGACTATCTAGATGCTAATTTTGCTTGTATCAAACTAATTATCTGTTTTTTTAACTAGCTATTTAATTTATTAGCTGTTGGTCTAATAAACAGCTTATAATAATGTAAATATTTATATAAAAATACAGAGTTTTACATTTAAGTATAAATAATAATATTCCTGTAAGTATATTATAGAGGTTGTACAAAGCAAGCAATAACCTGCTGAAAATCATAACTAACACACAAAAATTAACACTTCTACTTTTATGTGGAATAGAAATACCCGTCATAACCAACATAAGCTTTAGCTTTATCAGGCTGCTGGATCAAAATAAATCTGTACAGTGTGATTATTTCACTTTAGTCCTATAAAAAATGACTACATTTTTAAAAATTAGGATGGTTGTGGCTTAGACCAAAGATCATTCATTCTCTTTTCGGCTTAGTCCCTTTTTTAAGCTGGGGTCGCCACAGCGAAATGAACTGCCAACTTATTCAGCATTTGTTTTATGCAACGGATGCCCTTCCAGCTGCAACCCATCTCTGGGAAACATCATTACTCACTCATTCACACTCATACACTACGGACAATTTAGTTTACCCCATTTACCTATACCGCATGTATTTGGACTGTGTGGGAAACCCACGCGAACACATGCAAACTCCACACAGAAACGCCAACTGACCTAGCCGAGGCTTGAACCAGTAAACTTTTTGCTGTGCTGCGACAGCACTCCGTACTGTGCCACCGCATCGCTAGACCAAAGTAAATACTGGAAAATATTGGACAAATATGACAAAATTTTCTTAAAATTAAGATGGCTGTAGCTTAAATTGAAGAAAATACTGAAAAATATTGGACAAATTTTTTTTTAAATTTAGGGCCCTATCATACACCTGGTGCAATAAGGGGCAATGCAATTGTTGTTTGCTAGTTTCAGCTTGGCGCAAGAGTCGTTTTGATGTTTTGCGGCACGCTGTTTAAATAGCAAATGCATTTGCGCTCATATGTGCACCCGTAGACGTTCTAATCTAAAAAAGGAGATGTGTTAAGGCGCATAGCCTGCGTTATGCTATTTTGAGGAACTAAAATAGATTTCACAATAGACCAGCAGAGAGCAGGCCTAAAGTCCAGTGCAGAGCGTGTTAGTTGTGCGCCTTGCTTACGCATTGACAATTTGCTTTTGTATAATGTTATCATTATTAGTTGTATTATTTATCATGCATATTTATATTTGTTTTATAAAAAATTAGCTTAGATTTGCCCACCTGTCAGGTTTGGACCATATGGGGCATAGCATGTGTATTTGAAAATAACTAAATAGTTTTTTGACCACACTTCGTTATTATTGTTCATTTATTCATTTGCTGGTGATTAGAACTGAATTTAGAAATAGTTTTGAAACAAATATTTTCGCTTAACAAATGAAATTAATTTTGTATAGGCTAATGGATGTTTGTGTGTACAACACAGTTTCCTTATCCATGAGAGTGAAAGTGAAAGTAAAGAATGAGGAATGTTAAACTGTTTTCTCCCTGGTGAAGCATTCAGTTTTTCCACTTACAAATTCGGCCATGTAAATAGCAAATGCGTTATTGCGCGACACAGCTGACTCTTAAAGGGAATTGGAGATGAGACTCAAAACACACCTATAACTCATAAAGAGAATAAGCTCAACCCTGTTAGACCGTGATCCACAGCGCAGAGAGGATTTTTCCATCCCTAATTTTGAAAATGACTATTATCCTCAAAATTAGCATGGTTGTGGCTTAGACCGAAGAAAATGGTGGAAATTAGACAAAAAATGACTAGATTTCTCAAAATTAAGATGGTTGTGGCTTAGACTGGAGAAAATGCAAGAAAATATTGGACAAATAAATGACTAGATTTCTCAAAATTAAGATGGTTGTGGCTTTGATCGAAGAAAATACTAGAAAATATTGGACAGAAAATGACTAGATTCTCAAAATTAAGATGGTTGTGGCTTAGACTGGAGAAAATACTAGAGAATATTGGACAAATAAATGACTAGATTTCTCAAAATTAAGATGGTTTTGGTTTAGAGTAGAGAAAATACTGGAAAATATTGGACAAAAAGTGACTAAATTTCTTAAAATTAAGAA